GAAATCTGCATGTAAGTCAGTATTTTGTCTGTGAAAATATTTGCTCTGGCCTTCCCTGCTCAGTTTCAAAAGCCAACTGAAGATAAAAGATAAGACTTGCTCTAAAGAGTGTATATGAAATTTTCTATTTAAATGTTTGGGTTTCCAGGGTATGCTTATTTTGTTTTTTATGTCTAGTTGCTTTTAAAGTATGAAATTAAAAAAAATACTAGTAAGGTAGGGAACGCAGGTATTTTCTTAGAAAGGGATCAGGAAATCTTTATGCAACTCATTATTAATATTAATTTTAACAGCGTACCTCCAAGATTCAACTGCCGAACTGTGTTGATCATTTATCTGGAGCTGCAGGTCTAGGAGAAAAAAATACCTTAAATGGACAAGTAGAAAGTAAGCACTGTATTTTATAAAAAAGTCATTTGACAGAATGTTGAGTTAAATTATGGATTTGGATCTATTCTCTCAGCCAAAGAAAATCACCTGTTGAACATATAGTGAGAAAAAAGAGGAGGAAAGGAAGTAAATTGTGTATCTTATCAGGTGCCAGCAACAGATTAAACTAGAATGCTGTTTAAGGAGCTCAGTTGTTAGCTTTTTTTCAAGATGCTCTGTGACCTGAGGACAGTCAGGAAACCAGGAGGAGGGAAGGAGGGAATGAAGAATGAGAAGAGGCAGGGAGGGGAGTAAATGAAGGAAAAGGAGTCGGGGGGTCCTTGGCAGGAGGTGTTAATGTAGAATACTTCTTTAGAAGAAGGAAGAGAAGAGTGTTTGAAATGAGGTGGGTATGAAGTGAGCTTCTTCCAGCACCAAAGCTTGTCCGGGAGGCACAGCATAATGTTCCACTCCCCCGTCCCCCTGACCATTAGGAAGGCAGTGAGGACTGCGGTACCTGATCACGCAGAGCTGGGTGTGCCTGCCGTGGGTGAGCACAGGCAGGTGTGGTCAGCTGTCAACATCTGGATCTTCGTGTCATGCAGCGTGTTGCTGCCTTATAGGATGGTGTCTCATAGGCCAACAGAAGAGTGGGAAAGAGGAAGAGGGCAGGGTGCATTCCGGGGAGGTCAGGGGCACTGGAGCCTGGTAAAGAGTCCCCTGAAAAGTCTACAACCTCTGATGCAGCTTTTGGGGAAGTGTTACAGTGAGACGCGTGCAGCTGGATTTCAGAAGGATCAGTTAAGTCCGAGTGCTGTAGAAGCAGACTCGGTATAGACCGGAGTTTCTCAAATTTTAATCAGTCACCTGGGGACCCAGTGAAAAGTGCACATTCTGAGCAGTGGGTCTGCGTTTCTAACAAGCTCTCAGGTGATGCCCTTGTTGCTGGTCTTCAGATCACGCTCAGAGGATAGACTTGTGTTTAGGGGAATCTGGAAGAAGAGCCACTGGGGAGTTAAAGACATACCAGCATCAAGGAAAAGCATGATTTTGTTTTTCTATCTGAGCACGTTCATAGCCAGAGGGAGGCAAAGAGTTGAAGTAGAAGTTAGAGTTGTAAGATAGTGCTGATAAGCAGAGAGGAAAAAGAAGTGGTGGGGATCGTCCATGAAAAGAATAGAAAAGGGGAAGAATTAAGACCACAGATCTAGAGGTACCTTTGAAAAGGGAAGTGAAAGGAAGGAAGAAAAAAAGGCCGCAGGTAGGTGATTTTGGAACTGAGGAAAGTTGAGAGAACTCCTTTTCGATGGCGTCAGTGTATTTGCACTGAAGCCAGGTTAGATCATTGCCACTCCAGAGAATACTGGAATCAGGAGGGGGCCTAGAATTGGGGTAAACCACAGCCACTCCTCCTATCAGGCTTCAAAGATAAATGTTGTATTGGTATTTGTTATTCAAGTGAGATTAACTTGAATATGAAACATTGGTTGTGCTTTTTTTTTTTTAAGGATTCCTAATTTTTTGGTAAGATAGTTTTTTTCACAAAAATCCTTGCAAACATTAGCCTGATTTACCAAACCAAACTAATTTAGGAAACAAAAGAATTTAATAGGGTTCATTCCATAAATGCTAAAGTTGTTATTTTCAGTGAATACTACACAGGTTTTGAAATGTAAAAGACTTTTAATATCTAATAATCCTGTGGCCATTAAATTTTTTTTGATTACTAGATTTCAATATTGAAAACTCAGTATACATTCTTTCTTGCATGAGTGGATCAAGAAACTTTGATGGCTAGAGGATCCAAGAAATGTAGGCATACCAACAGCCCATGTGGGTATGGGAAAAAATATTTTTATGAACTAGAATTCTACAAGTGTGTATCCAAGCTGATCAACTCGTAACACTTTCTCTGATGAGAAGTGAATTGCACATTCAGATGAACTGCCATCACAACTGTGGACTTCCTAAATCACAGGACAGATTGAAGAGCATGATAAATACTTGTAGTCTAATGGTGTCACATTAAAGACGCGCTGTTGCATTTTACCGTCAGCTTTCACATTTGTCTTCTTGGAGCCGTGACTTGTTCCTCTGACTGGAGATCGCTTTTCTCCTCCTCAGGCAGCATGTTCACATTGGTATACGTGCACGTTTCTATTTTATAAAGTCATTTGAAACATAATCGTACTTTTGAGATCTTAACTGCATGTTTTGTTAAACCTACATTCCTGTTCTTTATTGAGTATCTGTAACGGATTCATATTTCTGTCTTGTTGCTGTCCTAACTGCCCCTGAAAAACAAAACACTGAAACCTAACGTGTTCATTTCCAAAGCAAGCATGAGGATTGTGTTCAGTACTAACTCTGCGTGAATGGATAGTTGGCTTTCATGTTTGCATATAATTGATTATGTGTCCCTTTTGGCTTTTAGATTCTTCTGAAAAATATCCTCACTTGAAGGTAAAAACTTTTATACTTTTATCTTGAATTTTTTTTTTTTTTAATGAGGGTACTGGGAATTTAGCCTAGGACCTCATGCACTGCTAAGCAGGCACTCTAGCACTGAGCTAGACCCTCCCCCCTTGAATTATTACTATAGGTTGTATCAAATGTACATTATTAATCGGTTTGTTTCAAAAACCATTCAGCCTGCAGTTGGAGTGAAAGATTCTGTTCCTAATAATACAAGAGAAATGAAGACTTTACAAACATTCAAATCAGGTAAATTTTGCAATACAAATTTCACTTTGAAAAGAAGTACATTCTTCTTATTCATAATTCCTTTTATTTCTTCAAACTTAATTGAAAGATGATATAAATAAGGCAGATGTTATTATTGATATCCATGTTTGAAAAATACATATAAGCATAAGAAATAGGTTTTTAAAATGTCAGCTTTGACTCGGATGTTTCTGTTGATGCTGGGAGACACTAAAGTGCTCAACTTGGAGTCCCTATACTTCTCAGGGATTCTGAGAGATTGATTATTAGGTTCTAAGATTTTTCCAGAGTTTTAAAATGCTTAATTGAATCCAGACCTTTACGTAAGGGTCAAGCTTCACTTGCTAACGTGTCAGTCATATTTCACTTTAATTAGTTCATCTAGTGCTATCACATTGATGATATTTATTTCTGTATTTATTTATTAATGGAGGTCCTAGGGATTGAACCCAGAACCTTGTGCATGCTAAGCATGTGCTCTACCACTGAGCTATTTCCCTAGCCCAAA